TGTGTGTGTGTGCGTGTGTAGCCTGGCTTGTCAGCAGACAGCAAGCTGATGAAGCGCTCCTTCTCCACCATCGGAGACCAGTGTGTGAACGGCCTGTGGCAGGAACAACACTCTCTGGAGAGAGTCAGTCCTGACGACACGTACCGACCCCGACAGAGGAGCTACAGAGGTCAGCTGACACGAGCACTACACTTCCCACAGTCTGATTCATATTCCTATTTATGTTTCATAAGATTTGAGTTTGATAGAAACTCTTTCTAGCTGATGAATCCTTTATTATTAGAATATTAGTTTGATGTGATGTTTCCAGTATAACACTTTTATTTACATAATTTTAACCTTTCCATTAGATCAATTTGATAAAGTGCAACTTTTAACTTTCTTTGTATGTATTATCAGGTATTTTTCCAAAGTAGATGTTGTTTTATTTTCTTTCAAAATGTTTTGCCTAAGTGAAATCTGCTCAACTCATAGGTGCAAGAATCAACCACAGAGAAACAAGTAGTCACGAGAGAGGGAGATCTAAGGAACGGCGCCATCTACTGTCTCCTGACGTGTCCCGCTGCAACTCTGAGGAGCGAAGTCAGGACGCCTCGTGTGAGAGGAGACGGTCCCGCTCACCCAGCGAAGGACGCGTGCACACCTTACAGAGACAGGTGTTAAATGTTCTACCTCCACACCCGTTACAGTTTTTGTTGTTTAGCTGTTTCGTATCTGTGAAGTGAAGTGAACAGTTGGAGGATGCAACAGTGACCTCCTCTCTTTTGTGTTTGTATTATTTGCAGGTCAACACATCAGGCAGCCCTGCTCATTCAGCCTCAGAGTCCAGTACTCCGCGTAATCGACGGCAGCTGCCCCAGACGCCCTCTCGCCCACGGCCTTACATCTCCTATTCTCCTCTGGTTTGCCAAGCACAAACCTCTCCCACACCAGCAACCTCCTCTGAAGGACAGACCCAGGCTCCGGACGGCCCTGTTGGCTCCGCAGAGCCCTCATGGAGGGCCGACGAGGAGGCGGGGCCCCCCGCTCCAAATCAGGGGTCATCCGGAGTTGAGGTGTTAGCACCGAGTCGCCCATCTCCTCACCGCTACATCTCAGAGCCCTACCTCCCCTTCCACGAGGACCTCGGCGGTGGCGAGGCAGGCAACGGGCAGCAGACCCTTACCTTCGAGACTGCCATGGCAACCAGCCTGGGACGGGCCAACGCTATAAGCTCCGCCCCTCAGCTCAGACACTCCTGGCAGGTTCCTAACGGGCATTTCCGCAAGCACTTGGGCAATACGAGTCCGGCTGGAGCCAGCGAGTTGCTCAGTGACACAGACGAGGACGACCGCTGCTAAAACACAGCGGAAGAGGATGCACAGAGCGACCGGGCACCTCAGAGATACACGGTTGTAGCTCGTCTGTGGCTCTGAGACCTTGTATTCTCAGCACTAGTAGCATAACGGGAAGGACTGAATGGCACCACTCTTTATCTGGATACTTGGGTGTCTGTGTGCAACGTGTCCTTCCATGTGTGTCTCTTGTTGCTAGAGGGAGAGTATGTGTGTGTTTGTGCGTGCTCTCAGAAGAGAACATTTGCCAAATCAAAAGAACAGCTGAGACTTACAGTAACACAAGCAGCTCGCTGCAGGCAAACCCATGTGTGGCCGAGCCTTCCCACACGTGTTAGTGTTTTGATAGTTTGATCATATGTGGTGAGATGTTGATCTGAGGTGTCCGATGCTCTTGTTGAATCTGATTTTAACTGAATTTTGTGTAGGTGAACATAGCATGTAAAAATGTAATGCGTTGAATGTATTTTAGCTCTCGGTTCATAAGTTCAGGTCATTTCAGAAGGTAGCTGTCAGGCTTTACTCTGCATAGTTGTAAGTGTAGCAATGAAACAAGGTTCAGCCGGATAGTTGCCAGTTTATAATCAGCCATTTCCAACAGTTCATGTTTACAAAACCTATATCCACATTGTTCTTTGGCATTATACAGTCATTCATCAATGAGGAGTCAATACAGGAGATCTACTTGCAGACCCTAGAATGAGCTGAACAAAGGTCATGTTATGTTTTTGCCCTAATGTGAAACAGTAAGAGAGTAAGTGAGTGAGTGCAACTGAAGCAGTGTCCCAATTCAAGGGCCACATAGACCGTGAAGGCTGAACCGAAATGAGACGGACTTGTCCACAGAGGATTTCTGAGATCGGTGTCACCAGCTTGTCCTGCTGTCACCTAGCAACAGAGCTGCTGTTGGACATAACGAGAAAGTTTTAATGCCTCTTGTTTTTTAACATGTACCGCCAGCTGTTGAAGCCTGATATTTAAGCATCAGACTTCTCTTTGCTTGCCTGCACCATTACCTCTTTGGAAAAGTGTTTGTCACCGAAGCGCAATGAATCCTGGGATATGTTGGCCCAAAGAGGATCCAAATGGTTGATGATTTATTTCTCTGGAATGGAAGAACGCATTTTGAGGAGACTTTAAAATGTGACAGCGTGGTCATGCCGCTGTGACACAATCGGTCTTCAAATGCAGCCTCTGTAGGTCGGGCCTCTGAATTGAGACACAGCGACTGTAGCCCACATTGGTTGAACATGATGATAAAATATCCCGGACACAGGTGCCGCCATCTTGCACCTTTGACATAATTTGGAGTTTGCGTACTAGTGATTGTGGCATGAAGCTGGGTATTGAGGTACATTCTCAACCAATCAAGAGTCAGCCTCAGCTGTCAATCATGTTTCATCCTGTTTTTATATTTATATAAAAATAACTAATGGTGAACACTCAAACTTACATCTGTGTGACAAAAACTACCTAAAATGACAGACACCATCTCTGACAAAACTTTATGTGATGTGACTTTTTAGTTGGGTCTCTGTCCCCACTGCTAACAAGGAGGAGGCGAGACTTATGACCTCTACTGCAGCCAAAGATGATTTGGCTTCACTTTTAGGGAGCTGTCATGTCGTCCACCTTTACATACAGTCTGTGGAGTGTCCGTCATCAACAGTATATGTGTTGGCTCTGTGGCGTGAAAAAGAAAAGAATAAGAGATGCTTGGTCTCAGGATACTGTAACTGTGGTTTTGTAACATATTCTCATCTGAAACCTGAAGTTGTTCTTCGGATCTTGGACCTAAAATGAACTTTACACATCAGTTAGCATGACATCCAGTGACAACGCTGTCACAAGGACGAGTGGAGATTTCAAACACATCTGATGTGATCATGGACTGTAGCAGCTCTGGCCCCTGTAGGACAGAAAAGTGTTCAATTCCCACATTGATGTGCTGGATTACCGCTGTGGATGTTGTGTGGAGAGGTGACCAAAGCCATTTTCTTCCTGTACATACAGAGCCGAGGACACGTCCTCTTCAGGAGGTGTTTCTCTCACATGATGAAAACAATGAGAAATGAAATGTCTTTTCTACATGTGATGCAAATGATTTCAACAATAAGGAAAAGAGGAGTCACAGGCACAGTACGTTTGTGTCTTTGTTTACTGCCACTTTGTTTCTGTCACATTGGAGTCTATGTTTTGGTCAGTAGAATCAAGCATTATGGTATTTTCTGTGCTCCAGTGTTATAGTAAATTGCCACATGCATGATAATGGTGATTTGATGATGGGAGATGTGTGAGAGGTTTGTATCCATTATGTTTAATAGGGTTTATTTTGGCTAATTTGGTGATTCTGAAACATCCAGCAGAGAAATGCTTCCTCATTCCCAGCATTCACTGTTCCTCAAACACATTCTCACATTTGTTGTTGCCCCTGAATAAGATGTATATTTATATCAAGTGCTGTTGAGTTGTTATGATATGTTGAGTTTGACATGTTTTCTGAAATGTGAACACAGGACACGTGGACGGGTCAGAAGAGATAACGCCAACCTGCTGAGGCACTAAACAGGAAGTCCTGGACGGATAAGATGTAGTTTTCAAGTATGGGTGGATTTATACAGTTTCCAGGTTCAGTGTACAGGTTAGGGTTCCGGCTTTAGCCTGTAGTTTATACTGTGGTGCAGTGCAGCCTATAGGACCTGAACTCGATTGTACAGAACAGCCTATTCTGTGCCTGGGGACGCTCGCTCAAAGAGTTTCCCCGCCTGGATTTCCTAGATAGAGATGCTTTCTGGTAAATATGTAGAATAAACTGTATGAAAATAAATTAATGTTTAATTTATTGCACT